TGAAAATATTTTAGTCGATGATAATATTTACTAGAATTTTGAATTTTTTGCAATGAAAAGATAAGGATTCATATTACAAGTTCACCATAAATCTTTGTTCTTGTATTATAACCCACACTAGAGAAATAAAATTGACTTCGTTGAATGTGGATTGTCTTGCTTTGGGCTTTAGTTCTCTTGTAGTGAGTGGTCTCATAGCTTTTAACTTATACTTATGCCAATGTTTTTATAGTCTTATAACTTGAGTTATTCTACTTTTTTTTGTTATTTGAATTGTTATTAGGAAATAAGTTTTTTTAATGTGGATCTAAGGTTTTGCACTAGAGTAGAGCGTGTTATACTTTTTTGGTCCTATATCCTACCCCATTTATTATAGCATTTGCGTCATATAAGTGATTTTTTTCCCTCATCTTTAGCTCATCTTTAGCTCATCTTATCCCTTCTTCTAGGTTAGTAAGATTCTGTCATAACTCAAGACAAAGTTCAAAATTGCAATTTTTCTTTTAAACTTCTGTAACTTAATTTCTTGGAGGCAATGACTTCAAAATTATTTTTATTTTTATTTTATATTCATTTTAATTCCTTTTGTGGTGAGTTGAAAGTCCACAATTTCGTAGATCCATTAGTGAATATGTTTGAGAGGGTTCAAAATCATTATGTTTATTCATATTAGTAAAATTCTCCTTCAAATAGATATTGTTTTGCTTAGGAGTTTTTCTCTTGATAGTGTTTTGCTTAGGAGTTTTTCTCTTCACCAATGGGTTGCTGGCATAGATTCAATGTTTCTCCCTCTCTACTCTTCAAACATAAAATTTATCATCCTTTGGTGATTCAACTTTACATTCGTTTGCTAAAGGACACCATATTGTAAAACATAGTCCATCTTATGTAATGAATGCGATCTTCTCAAGTTTGTAGGATGCATCTTAATTTGATGATAATAATAAAATGCATTAAGAAACTTCATCATTGAGAAGCATACTTAGGAGTCGACTAGGACCTTAATTCCTGGAAGCAGATTAGTTGTTTTTGGAATAGTTGTCTTTAGGTTAATGAATTCAAGACATCCTTTATTTGCCATTTGATTTCTACCCTAGATATTTCACCTCTTTGACGAATTCAACCTCTTATAATTTTTATATGTCATAGAGAATTGGTTTAGCAAGTGTTGCAACAATTGAACTTGTTTTCAACGTAATTTTGTTTGACTTTCCCATCAAAATTCAAATTTATAAAAAGAGATATTAATATCAACTCCTAGTGACTTTGATCTTTAGTAGGAAGAATGGATACTATCTCCTTTAAAGTCTAATTCAAATTTTGGATTTGATAATTTTTTCAGCACTTGTTACAAATTTCAGATAGTAAGTTCTTAATTATAATGAATAGCCCCTTATTGTCACTATTGACCTCTACCATAGAACTTCACTGTGATATGGTAAGTTAAGATGATTACTTGAAAAGTATTCAATAGACGTTTACCAAATAAACTGTTATAAATTATTGGACCATCTCAGTGATGAAATTGTTCTTTGTTGTTTATTGATCATCTCTTCTATCTAAGTACTAGCAAATGTAATTATGCCTTATTTTTCTTTCTTTTTTTGAAAAGTTGACTGGCAAGCCCATATCTGTGACAAGGGAGATTCACATATTTATCATCTCAAAAATATTTTTGTGGATAATAACCAATTAGCTCATTTTATCAATTAAGATACTATCGATTTGATACTTCGCAATTGATGTTGTGATCATGATTGCATCATTTTACGAATTCCTGTTTAGGAGTGTGTTGGTTTTGGAAAAAGGGATTGTACCGCCTTAGTCATTGGTTCTAGTGAAATAGTAGCCTAATTTATCTTTACCAACAACCTATATCTCTTAAGTTTAGCTTGGCGAGATACATTTTTAGATCTGCGTGGGTTCGACTTCAACTATGTAAATAACTTACATGTGGACGAGCTCTTTTTTGATCTCCTTCGTAGGCATAATCTCTAATTTTAATCTTTAATTTCTCAACTTTGATGAGCTCTCCAACTAAATTTTTGAATTATCAGTAAATCTTTGTGCTGCACCCTTGATCTTGATGAAAAACACAATACTTTGATGAATCCCTCATATGAGAATTTGCCTTCATTGGAGCAAGTTGCTTAAATTAGTCTTTGTTTAGAACGGTCACTACTAGCTTGGCCATTAATCCTCATAATGGAGAAATATTCAGCTATTGGGGAGTAGGCAGCGACAATGGTAACTTGTTCCTTCTTTTATTAGTACTATCTGCACTGTGACTTTTGTTTTGAACTCGCTTTTGATAGCGATGAAGTCACTAATATCTGTAAGCTTTCTCATAGCCAAGGTGAGAAATATCTCCCAACCTTGGAGTCTTAGGAACTTCACGTTGAAATTTTCCTATTTGGTCAAAGCCTTGTGGTCGACTTGAAGTCAATGCCCTCACCATATTATTGTACTCTCTTTGTATGACAGTTTGTGAGTGTTAGCAAAGCCAACCTTCTCAGCTATTGCAAATTAAATGCATAGTGAAATGGGCTTTCTTGCAGACCTTAAGTTAGAGCGGCTTATGTTGGCTCTAAATTTATTCTCATCAAGCAACATTTTTTGGAAAGTTTTAATGAAGTTCCTCAGCGATTTGTTTGGCTCTTACTTGATTTTCAATTAAGCTTTTGATTTTTTTAGAGGTTGCTATGGACTGGTGAACTGTGTAATGAAGGCTTTTTTCATCTCGACAAATACTGTAATCTTCTAGAGGGATTGGTGGGAAAACTACCTGCACGCCAATTCCTTGAAGGCTGTTAGGAAAACTAGTATTTTAACTCTTCATTTAATGTCCAATAGAGAGATGATGGTTTTAAATTAGGGGATTGTTTGCAGGGATAGTTCTTGAGGGATCTTGAATTTTGTAGACATCTGATATTTGCAACTTCCTCTTCACAATACACCTCTCTACTCAGCAAGGTGAGGGAGACGAACACTTCATTATGGAGTTAGGATAGTAGGTTTTATCATTCACTGTAGTGGAAAGTAGCCCTCTTACATTAGAATTCCTTCTTCTGATTGTTGAATCAAAGGACTCCTTGGGTAACTACACCTTTTTGGAATTTGCTGTAAAAATCCTTGGATTATCTTTCTGATCCTTTCTTCCATCTCTTTTAGTTTCTTGGTGGTCATATACTTTTAATTCTAAATATTAATAGAGATTTCTCTAGCTGCTTCTTGGCTATTTTCTATATAGTTCTCTACTTCCATTTTGGTTTTTAACATGGATCACACTTGCTGTGTATTCCATGATTTTGAATCATGAATTTTCTCCTCATGAATAATTTCAAAATCTTATTTAGCTCATGCATGTGCGTGCACGTGCAAGGAGAGAGAGAGAGTTAGAGAGTAGTTTATTTATATTATAGTAAGCTTAAATAGAAGAGATTGTATAACCGTGTTCTTCCCATGACCCCCTATTTATATATTTGGATTAGGGTTTGAGTTCTATAGAAAAAACTACATATTAAAATATATGAATAGTAAAAAAGTACAAAGGGAGACACATTGATTATTTGTTGTAAAATACAAGATATGTGTAGCTTGAGTAGGAACTCGAATCTGTGGTCAACCAGCTTAGGAGGAAGTCACTTTTTCCCTTGAAGAAGCTAACTATGTAGCACTTGAGCTTCAAGGACTATGCTTGAGGTAGGCTAGTTGGTGGGTTCAATATAAGTTTGGCAAGGCCTCCACGAGTTTTTCATTAGTTCTTCACAAACTCGGCTGGCTAATTTGCCTTGAACCAGGTTTGCATGTTTGTCTCAAGTTTGGCTGGCGAATTCACTATGAACTTGGCTTAAAAGTTCGTCTTGAGCTTTATCTAGCGAGTTCATATGCATAATTTTTGGCTTTACATCTTTTATAGTATTTATGTAAATTCCTACTTTGGTTCTTGAGTTATTGTTATTATTTTCCATGATAAAAATTAGATGAATATTTTGCCATGCATTTTCCAGCATAATACCTTCTATCCATGTGCTACACTGCACCTCTGATTTTTTTAGTGTTTATTTTGACAAATGCAAATTTTAATAACTCGATGAAATTTTGGTATGTGCTGTATATTACTCCAGAGGCATGATATGCGTGCTATATAAAACGTCTGTGCATACATAATAATCCATATACGACTAATTTGTTGTGACCTTAGAGGATTCTTATAGATTTCTGGAATTCATTCTAAAATTAGATCAAATCTAACCATTAGTTGGCTACAAGAGAGTCAACTTGGGTGCTTTGCAGTTGGGAAGCAATCTTTATGTACAGGCTTTATATGAATAATTGTTGTATGTTCGGCGATCTATTTTTTTTGTCGAGATTTGCTGATAGGCTCCATGCTAATATTAATGTTATCAATTCATTTTTGTGGCACATACACTTATGTAATGGCGAATTACATCCTGTATTTTGGACTGTTTTTATCAAAGAAGAGATTCACACTCATAATGTGTGAACCCACTATGGGTTTATTGATTTATTGTGTGACAACTTAGGGTTAATTGAGATCATTTTTTCCTTATTTTGGTTTGAAAAAATATTTTTGTTAAATATGTTTTCTTAACTATTTTTAATTTTATATTTCTAGAGATAAATCAAGCTATTTTTAGAAACACAAAAATTTTAAAGAACTGATTTGGTATTAATTTTGTTTGTTTTTTTTGTTTTTGTTTTTTCTTCTGTATTTAAAAATATATTTATTTAGAGCTTGTTCGGAATCATTTTTGTTTTTTTTTGTTTTTTTAACATGTTTGTTTAGCATGTTTTTACATGTTATTATTATTTTTTCTAAAAAAATTAAATATTCTTGAAAACTCTAAAAAAATAAGTATTTTTAAAAACAAACATACTTTAATCATAGCCAAACACTTTTTTGTTTCAAATAATAAAAAATTCAGAACAAATAAAAGAAAAAAAAGGAAATCAATAACAAAAGTGATGCTTTTCATGCCCTTTTATTTTTTATTTTGGGAAAGAATCAACTTGTTTTCAAAACACTCAAAAATGTTATAAAAATAATATGCTTTATATTAAACATAACAAGCATGCTTAGTTTCAAATCAAAACATAAACAAAACAAAATAAAAACATGAAATAGGAAAAAAAATAACAAAATCTCATACGGCCCCTAAAATTTGATGATAACCACCGATTGCACCGAACACCATCACTGTCTTTACCTTGTATTTCATTGTTGCTCCGCTGATGATTGCCGCCACCACTATATAAATAAAAAAAAAAAATAAAAAAATAAAAATGGTCTTAATTTGCCCTCAAGTAATCATATCCTTGTGTTGACGAGGTAGTCTTAGCACATTTGCATGATTCAAGAATTTATACTCTACTTGCGGTACTTTAATGAGGACTGTTTTCAGATTTCAATTCTGATGAGAAAATGGAGAGGATTATTATATTGCATGCAAGCTTGAGAAATAGTTGGTTTTGTTAGGTAAGAACCTAAATTTTTTTGTTTCTCAATTTTTTTCGTTTTTTAGAATTCTTTGTTCGAATACTCCGTTCTCGAAGTCTTTATTCATTTTTTGATCTGTTCTCACTTTCTAACTGTGGTCAGGAAAACTTATCCATTCTAACCTATTGGTTAAATTAACTTGACCATAGATAGTATTTTTGAAGATGACATGTTAGACGTGCAGTAGTGTTTTCTGCCTCATTATTGTTGGCAACTAATTAGCTGGCACATATCTTTGAGAGAGATAAGATTCTAAAGCTAAGTGCTTACAATTAGTTTTGTTTCCAATTTAGTTTTTGGCTTTTATTTAATCTTTTTTTTAAGACTGGGAGTACTATAGATCTTTATATTGTTAATCAAGTTTTGAATCTTTTTCGGAAGCTTCTAATAATTCTAATAGTTCTCATATACATTTCTTTAATTAATTATTTTAATTGTGTCTCTTGCTTTACTACCTCTAATATATATGCATCATTTATTAATAATGTCTGCTGGCATACGGAAGTCATCATCAATCTTTAGTGGATGGAAGAACAAATCTGCTGTGGAAAAATTTATAGCTTTAATAGTGTTTCCCTAGATTTTAATTTTTACTGATGGCTCTCCTATAGTAATGTAGTTAAAAATTTTATATTGAATTTGACTAACTTTAGTTGATAATTTAGTTGATTGGTGAAGTATTAATCTGACTTATAAATTTAGTATTAATTTGAATATTGTGTTAAAATAATTAATTAAATTTATAATTAGGCCATAGATTACAATAATTACTCCTTTATTGATTGATTTAGTGACTATTTAGGTAAATTAAGACTTTCGTAGATTTACTAATCATTTATCGATAATATGTTATTATGGTATTCTAAATAATCAGGCAGTCTCTTTAATCATATTTTTGTAATCAATTGATAGTTTAGTATTAATTTATATTAAAATTATTAAATTAGAATAACCATTTAAACTAATTTATTATTAATTAGTCATTAGTATGATTCATAAACCATACATTAATAAATTACTTTAATAAATTCAAAATTAATAGTTTACATGGGTTTGGCCTTAGTCTGAGTGATGGCACATTAATTTGATGTCGGATGGATTTGATCCCAATGACTTGGCAATCGCCTACGGAGTCTAAACGTTAATTATTATTTAATAATTTGATATTAAATAATTTTTTTTTTAGTATAAATTTTTAAGTAGTTTGGATAATTGTTGCATAAGAATTTTGATTGTAATGCATTCTAATTAGCCATTAAGCTATTATGATTTTAATTAATTGATTAATTAAAATTTAGATTATCTAATTAATTTAGTGTAGTTAACAGTAGGATATTTAATTATCATAATTAATTATTTATATGGATTAAAATTTTTAATTAATAATTTTAATTTTTAGATATTAAACCTATTTATTAATTCATTTAAAATAATTAAAAAAAAATAATTCTAAATGATTGTTTATCAATCGATGCCTAGGGAATTAAATTGTTTGGTATAATTAATGACTATTGTAGTAAATCTTATGGATTAGTTATGGTATATATGGTTAATAAGTCTTTGATTAATTATTGAAATAAGATATGCATGCATCACTTAATATGAAACACATTTTCAGTTTGTTTTGTATACTGATAAATAATTAGGTTCTTAAATAAGTTTTACATGAAATTTATTTTTGGTATTTAAACAAGTCATATGAGTATCTCAACTGTCTTTTCCAAACAGATTTAGCTTTTAGGAATTCTAGACAACAACCCAAACAAGTATTTTATCAAATTTTTATCTAATATACGTTATATCACAAGATAAAACAACACAGCACTAGATAACATTTCTAAATATAGACGTGCTTCAAACGGTTATGCTTTAATCTTTACTTTACACGACCTGTGGAATTCTCTCTTAAATGTCTTTGATTTTTTTTTCACATGCAGCATCTCATGCCTCCTTATGGAACACCACCTCCATATGTAATGTACCCACATGGAGGAATATATGCACATCCTACGATGGCTCCTGTATGCACCCATTAACTGTGTGCTCTCAATCTATTGCAATTTAGAAGATTACCCGTTCCTTTTCTTTTTCTTTTCCTCATTAAATTTAGATTCATTTAACTATTTTAGTATGGTTTGCTGAGCTGAGCAGGGTTCACTCCCATTTAGTCCTTATGCAATGGCTTCTCCTAATGGAAATGCAGATGCTTCTGTAAGTGGTGACTGTGATAGACTTTTTTACACTCCATATCCTACTGCTTCTTGTGCACTGAGCATTCATGTATATATCCTATATTGCACTTTTAGGGTGCTTTTCCTGGTAGTGAAGCAGAGGGAAAGTCTTCTGAAGGTAAGGAGAAAAGCCCAATGAAGAGATCAAAAGGAAGTCTAGGTAGTTTGAACTTGATTACTGGAAAGAACAGCGAACTTGGAAAAACTTCAGCAGCATCAGGCAATGGGGCATACTCACAAAGGTTTTTTTTTTTGAGAGATATTTGATAATTGTTTTTTGGATGTTGTTTCTTAATGCTGATTAACTTTTTATGTTACTTTCTGTTCAGTGGGGATAGTGGAAGTGAAGCCTCAAGTGAAGGAAGTGATGCCAATTCTCAAAATGTAAGGAAGCAGTTAATTTTGTACTTCGATTTCTTTGTTTTCTTATGTTATTTTGCGAGATATGAATTCTTGCCTGACCACCCCTCCCACCTATACCAACTGATCAAAAAGAAAAGGGGGAATCAAAGCAACTTACATCTTTGAGGCCAGCACCAATTCAATACCATAATTATGCCAAAGGGGCACTATGCACCAATAGACTATGCAGCATCAAGGCAACTACATTTTTTTCTTTCAATGATTTATAGAGTCGTTATAAAACTAACCTTTAGGTGTTGTGAAATGCATGGCTTGAAAACTACCCTCAGCAAGCATTATTATTTTTCTTGTCATTATTGGTTGCCTACTGTAATGCATATGCAGTGCATGCTTGATAATTTCTTTGGAATGCGCTATTGTTAAAAGCCAGCCATATTCCCATGATGCATAAGTGTTCATGTGCAAATCCGATAAAATTTACATATCTGTTTTGTGTTTATTTGATCCTTCGGTATTTTTTACTGGTCAGCTATCAATAATGTTAATTCGATCCTTCTGCATTTAATTCTTGTTGACTATTATTGTTGCTTATCCGTAATCTTGTATAGGATTCTCCACAAAGGGCTGGAGATGTTCAAAATTCTTCTGATGGTATGCGCATGTAAACTTTTCCTGTAACTGTTTAGCCTTGTCTTAATCTAAAAGTTAGTCCATATTTATGGTTGATTTATCAGCCATGACAACTCAGAATTGTAACTATGCTTATTGCACCACAGCTCATGTTTTGCAAAATGGAACTGCTCGCGAGTCAGCTCAATCAATGGTGGGTCAGCCGATGACCATTGTTCCTATGCCAACTGGAACTGCTACTGGTCCGACCACAAACTTGAACATAGGGATGGACTTCTGGGGTGCAACAAACCCATCAACTATCTCTCCAATTCATGGTAAGGTCCCCACAACTGGAGTTGCAACGCCCATGATTCCTGGTGCTCCATCAGAATTATGGATGCAGGTATTTTGTATTTTGTTCTTGCCCGATGAAAGCTTTAACAGAAATGCTGAATTTTACTATTAACATAGGAATTTTGAATTTATATTTCTGAAGGACGTACTACAATAATTTTTAAGATGAATGTAACAGTTTTACTCGCCCAATTATTTTTGTTATTAATTTTTAAGATGAATGTAACAGTTTTACTCGCCCACCCAATTATTTTTGTTATCTTTTTATTTTCCATCATGTATGGAACTTATATCTCTCCCTTTTCATTAGGGTAGCCCTTGAAGATCTTTGTTATATTTCTTAAACTATGGCTTTTTGCATAGAGAGCAATCGTAGTACCATTCATCTTTTTTGTTATTATCATGCTATGCTTTGCATTGGATTTAACATGGCAGCATATATTACTCTGGAGTTGTAAATATGTTTGAAAATTTGATTGATAAAGTGGCCCTTGTGGTTCCATTGATCTGATTTCTTTTTGTCTACCTTCTCTCAACTTTCACATCTTCTGATTTTCAATGTTCATCAATGATTTACTAGTGTCTACAATGGATTGCTTGCAAAACTTTCGAAATGCAATGCCAGGACATGGCACTGCTTCACATTTTGCCACTATTGAAGTGGTACTGTCGGCGATAAAAAGTAGGGTTTGGGGAGGAGTTGCCCGTAAGAAATTATCGGTTACCAAAATCAAAATTCCGTCGCCCGCTTCGGAAGGACGCTTTAATTTACATATAGATTTAATAAGTTTAAAATCAAATATGAGTTTAAAATCAAATATGAAACTCAAACTGACCTCATATTTTTCATAGTTTAAATGAAATAGCACTTTACCTCAAACTCTGTATCTTTCCCGAGGGATAAACACAAGACTTGAGGATGAGATTCGATCAAATAAACTAAGAAATACATGACATTCTTTTGATCTGTAAAACCGTTTTTTTGCCGACAAATTTCCTTATTTAATATGAAAAATTAAATAGGGTTTATTTTAAGCTGGGTTCGAAAAAACTTCCTATAAGGGCAAGAAGCCTCTATAGTTAATTACATCTTAAATGACCGAAATCACTTAAGAATACTTTCGATAAAAATCAGTAAAAATTATCTTCAAAGACTTCAAAAGGATAGGACTTTTCAATGAAATCAGACAAAGAGGTGTGAAGGGGGAATGACTCAAATTTGGAACATTTAGTACATAATTTAAAGGAAGGAGAACTAGGGGATGCCACAGATCCAGAGGAGATCCTCGGTGACTTCCCAGTCTATCTTATGGTTTGGTTTCAGTTTCGAGGAGAAATATTCAAGTGTTTTATCATGCTAATTTTATTTATTTAGGGCTTACATTCATGTGAAACGATCACACAAATAGCCTGGAAGATATGAGGATTTAAGTCGTAACGAACGACAACCTCAGAATCCTAAAACGAGTTAGGATTTAGATCGTACAACAGAGCTATACAAATGCCTAAAGAAAATGTTGAGGATTTATGTTGCGCTAGGCGAACAACCTCGAAATCTTATGGATTGTTGTTTTAATTTCTAGGAAAGAAATAGTTTAGTTGGAGAATACATGTTCTGCTGTTGAAGATGGTCGTGCTGCTCACTGCGCTAGTTTCAAGCTCCTTGTCGTGACGAGTTTAAGTTTTCTAGGGTGTCTGGTTATGATGTCAAATCCAACGGCTCTATGGTTGTAGTTCTTCAGATATTTTATAAATAACGTGTTGAAGTTGTACTGTTGAAGTTGTACAGTGAGTTGTACAGTGTATAGCATGACAGTAGAATATGTAGCACAGGACAAACAATAGAGTATGCAGTAAAGAAAATAGCCGTGAAAAAGAACAGTACAACATGCGGTGTAAAGAAAAGATAAAAGGTACAGCAAGAAAGTAACATACTGTAAACATAAAACAAACCTGTATATCTGGGAGATCCACTGTTCCTTATGTGTAATTGATGCAGCATGTACAAGCAACAAAACTTGAGGAAACAGACTGAAATACTTTATATAAACGAAAACAAAGAAATGTCATCCAAAAATCTCGAAAAAGATCATCAAAAGACTCAAGACAAGAGAAATGCGAGGAAATCGACGAATCAACAAATCGATTAAAATCATAGAAAATACGGGAAAATCCCGAAAAGAGACCATGAGTGCTTTGTTAAAAAAAATTCGATAATACATATGAAAAAGTCCGAAAAGAAGGGATCACAAGCACTCGGGTTGGGGCTAGACTCAATTATATATTAGTACTCGAGGGTCGTCGAAGGCTACTCGGTCACCCGGATTTATAAAGCCCGTCACTCAACCAGAAAGATGTCCTATCGAACCTAACTCAGGAGGATACTCCTTAGCCTAAACAGGTGATCAACAGGTGGACAACCGATGTTTAAAATGTATTTAAAATTTATATTTTCGGCATGCACATAGACTTCAATCATGCAAAAAGTGGGCTGTATCAATTTTGTTTGTAGCGAAAAGTGTATTTTTGTTTTAGAAAAAAGTGTATCTGTTCTTATCAAATTTGTTTTTTTATCAATTTTGAAAAGTAGTTGTCCATTAGTCGATCGCGCTGTCGGGCATAAGACTACCAACAACCTAAGAAGGTTTAGGTCAGCTCCCGCTAGTCTTGTGTCGGTGATTGATATTGTCATCCTACAACTCATCGGGTTCCTGAATCGGATCATGATGTCGTAGGATGACATATCATTCTGCTCTATCCCCTATGTGTCTTTGTCATTACCGTCCTAAGCCCCAAAACAAAACCGACCCCTGACCTACTTGCGACCTTGCTTGATGGTTTCACGTATAGCAAAAGACTATTCGTGGACGTTTATGTATCAGACATAAGCATAAAAAATCGAACCAAGAAATAATGAAAAAAAATGAACAAAAATGGGGTGAGAGAGAGGAGGACTGATTCAACTAAAATATTGAAAATGATGAAGGATGAATCAGTTCTCAAAACTCGTGACGAAAAGACCTAAAAAGGAAGGCCCGAACATCCTTGAATTAATCCGAAAGGGTATCATTTTCTCACATTTTCATAAGTGGATCAATTCAAGTCAAAATGACCTCCTAACGCCGATATCTAAACCCCAAAGACATCTTTTATGAAATCAATTCGTCTCAACTAAGTATTCTCCCGAAATAAAATTCGGAAATCTCCCGAACTTCACAAAAGGAAAATAACTCGGTCCGCAACCAACAAATGGCTGAAACTGAGTTTAGTACAAGCCAAAACCGAGCCCCCCAAGGGCCAAAGCCAAGCCAAATGCCCTACCAGCAAGCTCACGAGTAGGACTAAGAACGAATCAAATCAAGCTCCCAAGCTACCTCTTGGGTAGGAGACACAAAACAGGCTCTCGGGTAATGGCCAGAACAAACGAAATCAAGCCCCTCCTCCATACCACTTCTCGGGTAAGAGCCAAAGCAAGTAAATCCGAGCTCCAAGGAAAGCTAAAATTGAGCCATTCAAGGCCAAAATAGGGTCAAATAAGCAAAACCGAGCCCACCCACCAAACCAGCTCTCGGGTAAGGTCCATAAAAGGCAAAACCAAAGCAAGCCAAACTCTCGAGTAGGGCCAAGAACAAGTAAAACCACGGTCTGCACCAACTTTAAATCATTTGGGGATAAACCCGTACATATATTGGACTTGGAGTAGCTAACAACATACAAATCCCATGCCAAACTAAGCTTTACAAGTATGCAAAAAAAAAAGGACCAAAGGACTGGATCAGGCAAAATCGAGTTCCAATAGAGGCTAAAACCAAGCCATTCAAAGCCAAAACAGAGTCCAAGCATAGATTAAAACCCAAGCCTTAACAAAAATTAAAACTCCAACCATCTTAAGGTAAAACTGAGCCATCCAAAGCCAAGGAGCAACCCACATGTTTTTGAAACATCAAGATATGAAACCAATATACATCTTAAATAAGAACAACAACATAAAGACATATTTGGGCCACCAACCTAACTATTCCAAGCATGAAACAATTCCCAACAGATATTTGGGCAAAAGGATGCCTCACGAGAAGCTAAGCCAAGTCCTCAAAGCAAGTTACAGGGCTTTCCAAATTATATAAATTTTCTCATAACATGCATTTCGAGCAAGGAAAAGCCACATTGAGCCAAAACCGAGCCCAGCAAAGGTCAAAAACCGTGCCATCCAGTGGCTAAAAAACAAACCCACCTCAACATGTGTTTCATATGAGAGGAATAACGTGAAGTAGAGAAGCATGCATAAACCTCAAAGTTAACATTTCAAGGTCTCCAAACTAAGTCCCGAGGGACTTCCAAAATGAATCTTTTCATACTCCAAATAGATTTCGAACAAATGAGGCAACTACAGGAGCTAACCATAGGAGCTAAATGAGGCAACTACAGGAGCTAAAACCGAGCCCCACATGCGTGAAAGATCAAATAAACCTTCAGATAAGAATAAATGAAAAAGAATAAATGAAAAGCTTCATGATACATATCCTAACATGCTTGCAAGAAGAGCTAACATTGTCTCAAAGCTATGTTTCAACTCTCCTAATTGCTTCCAATATAAATATGCTATAACGAATATAAACATGCCATAGCTTCACTACTTTAAGAAAATAATCAAGTCTAACTCCTAGAATATGCTCACATTTTCATTTCTAGATGTTGGAGTAACATGCCTTTCAAAAACATAAGTGCAACACTAAGCTAACATGTCACATTATCCATTGCCCAAGCTAACAGAGACTCAACAAAGAGAAAAACCGAAAAGAGGCAAGGCGCAAAACATGAAAAAAGTTCCTCCTTAAAGCAAAAAAAGAAAGTAACACAGGAACTTTAAAGGCACTCCCCAACTTCAATTCCTCCAACAGCAAGAAGAAACCAATTCAAGCATCAGAAAAATAAAGAAGTGAGAAAAGAAAATGATAGAGTTTCCTCCCTCAGAGATTTTTTTTGCCTTTCCCCTAGGGCTACAAAACTGAGCTTAAGAAGGAGAAGAATGATTAAGAAGATACGACAGAG